TACACACATAAACAGACAACTCCATGAGAATATGCATTTTGTGCAGTTGTTGCACAGCATAAAACGCATAATAAAGCATCCTGCTTTTTGTTCACCAAAAGTCTTTAATGCCGTAATCGGCAATTTTATCTGTTATCTGAGAGTGAAACATATAGCGCTTTGTTATCGTGATTTTTTGTGATTTTGTTGCAAGTGGCAGATGGCGATTGGCACAGCTGGCGCCTAGAGGGACAGAAACGAAGCTTTCCCCGGGCGAGTTCGCGGAACTATATAAATCAATCATTTCCTCACTCGGGAATCTCGATCAGGGACAAGGATCATTATCATCGTCTCTTCCTCCGCTCTTTTGAACTATGTCCTGCATCTTGAACAACACGATATTCATTTCTCTGGAACTGATAAAATGGTCCACTTCTGGAGAATCTCCGCATACTTGGACTATGGTTATTCCCTCGCAACTGATGATACTTCTCCGTGGTATAAGTATGTGATTTGTTTTTCTTTTCGCAGCAAATAACGATAAAGCCTGTTGCTAGCCAGCGTGCCACAACTGCCACCACGCACACATAAGTGATGCATCTTTACTGTAGTAAACTTTATGGCTTGAAAAATAATCTATGTGCACAAAGGAAAGGGACGAGAGCAAGCAAACATTCCCAGCAAATTCTATTCAAATTTAATCTCATACCAAAAATCTGCATGTTTGGCCGAACGCCACTGTGGCAAAATGTCATCTTTTTTCTAAGTTATCATTTTTGTGAGAGCACTTGATTTAGCAGGCTTTACGTGTGGTGCCCAAATATTCTGGACAGTTTTTCGATCCCCATTTTGCCCCTAGTCGCTTTCTGGCGGTAAGTCGATGTGCATGGTCGAACCGGTTTCTTTGTTCCCGTTTATCCCTTTCGTTAAAAAGACCCTTTTTTTTGGTTTATTTTTTATCTGTACCCGGAATTTGCAAAAGTTCAAGTACGACGTCTGAACGGAGCATAAAAGCCGGTAATTCCACGGTCTCAAAAATCGGCACTTCAGGGTCCTATGGGGTGGATGATGAGGTTTCTGTCGTAATGGCTGATGCGCCATCATCTTGCATCAACATGATGCAATCGTCGGCATGGAATGTTGTGTACTCACTCATTTCTTGGTCACTTTTTGC